TTTTTAAATACGTATCTTACGTATCAAAAATGGATTTCTCTTGTTGCAAGGACTTCGATTGTAATAAATCGACCTAAGAATATACATATGTATACTAATTGAAAAAACATGTTGCTCGAGAGGGACGACGAATGTACATTTGTTTTTTTTGTATAAGTTTAATGTTAAATAAATGGTTTGGGTGTTTTTGGCCGTAATGGTGACGTAATCCGTTAAACAACGTTTTGCGTATGGTTTCTTCGCGCTGACCTCCACGGGTTTCCTACAGTATCGAGCCGCATAAGGGAATTTGTACGGAAAGCTGAAATTTTTAGTGGGGTCCCAAGCGGATGGGGTTCCGCATGGTCGCTCAGCTTGAACCGTCCACCGGCTGAATACTATCATGACGTCACTCGCTACGGTCACTGCCTGAATTATTCAGTATTCCTTCGTTTCTACTTGTACACACCGGCTGGCTCTTTGTACTAATGGTCGTCACCATACAGATACAGTACCGTTCATAATTATTCGAACGACGGTGCGTATTTTGCGGAACAAAACGACAGCGCGACCTGGCCGATTATTTATTCATGAAACACCAAACTAATTAACGAGTAATCGGTAATCGTCCTACTAAATTTCGATCGTCGAGCAATCAGGTTTCAAATGATCACAGTAAACCTCCAAATTTAGTGAACTTTTACCGGAGTTTTATTATTCGAACTAGTACATCGATCACCTTTCTTTATTTTGATTTTCAGAGAAGGTAAATTGCATCACTTAAATCTAATATTTGTCTGATTTTTGAACGAAGATGTAGATTTTGTTATAATGTAATTTGGAGTGTCTTAATTTTTATATTATTCCCTACATAAAATGGTCCTCGATAATATTTGCGTCAACTAGAAATTGTTAATTAATATCTGATCAGGGAATGTATCTATGATTCTTGCGCTCCGCCATTATCTTTTCACGAGCATGTCGCAGCTTCTGGCAAAGACAGCAGTTATTTTACATTTTATGACTACAAGTTACTTATTATCAATTACATTCTATATTAGGTTTAAGTAACGAAATGGAAAGTAATCGATAAAATTGACTCAGTGCGTTGAATGACAAAAAAAAATAAAATGGAGGACAGTAGCAGTTATACTCTAAAACAGAAACATGTGCAAAGTATGCCTCAAAACATATACGGGAGGAATTAGTAGAGCGAATGTCTAGAATAATGTAAATCTAAATAGCTAAGTTAATCACCGTAACGAGTACAAAAGAAAAACACTAATGGAATCTGCAATACATTATAATTTTAAATGAATATTTAGCTATATTTTTATATCGAATCTATTATTATTTCTTTAAATTTTCTGACTTTTATATTAAAATCATCCGAAATACAAAGAATCTTATATTAATATTTCGACAGTAATTTTTATTTTAATCTATAATTGTTGACGAATTCATAATTTTCTATCCATATTTAAACACACTATATTTACGTTGCTGTATTGCATATTATAATCAAATAATCAGCTTTTAAATTAATAGAATCTCTTAATTGCTGTTTCGATTTAATTGAAAGAAGCTTTTCAATATTTAATGCATATTGTGTGAAATCTGGCATGCATTTTTCTTTGCTCGCAAGAAATTCATATTTTAATATTAGTAATACTATCGTGCAACGGTTTGCTACTGTTGATCTCCATCGATTTCGACATAATCTTTTACAAATAACAGCACTTTTCCAACTGCTCACTCTCCTAATATTTGGCACATTTAGCCTATCTTAACAGATCTGGTAGATACCAGCCAGTCACGACGTAATCTCTTGTAAACGCAATAATATTGACAGTCACGCAAAACTCATTGCCCTTCTTCTCCAATTCATTCTACGAATCTTTCAGCACAGACTTTTGTCCGAACTCAACAACAATCAATTTTGACTCCTTCGAGTTTTAAGAAGAATGTAAAATATCAACAAATGGTCAGATAAAAGTTAAATAAATCAATTTTCTTTGGATGGACGTCTACAAGTCATTTTTTTCACTGCGTTAAACAAACAATTAAATTCGATGGTGGTTCCATTATGGTGTAGCGGTATGTTACATCCTATGACGTAGATTCATTTGTCTAATCGATGGTTTAATGATCCAATACGTTAATAAACACAATTTAGAAAAGATTTTGTGGGAAACAATATTATACTAGTTAGTATATTGTGGAAATTGTGAAAAATTGGTTACACCATTAAAAATCTTAGACTGGACTATTGGAAACTCAAATTTGAGCCCAATAGAAAATGTCTAGACATTTACAAAAATTCAAGCAGAACCTTCAAAAAATGTCCACAAATGTCTTTACCATTTTTCTGAAAGTTGTTAACAACGAGTCCAAACATGTTAACGCGATAGTGATCGAGCTCATCTAATCGTAAGCCTTATGCTTCATCTTCTTCCTCGAGCATTGAACCACCATCAAAATAATGAGTTTTTAGTAAAGCAAGTCTTTGAAAAAATTGATTCCACGAGAAAAATTTGATGGAATTTAATATTTCCCATAGAAAGTCCAAAGCATTGTATATGATACACAGACACACCTTGAACTTATGTACTAATTTCAGGGTCGAGGGTAAACATAACGTACACGTGTATACATATGTACATATTAATGTTGTATCAAATTAAGGGGCATTATAATTATAAAATAAACAAAGTGAAGCGCATGAACACGAATTTAATTGTTTAAAGAAACGTCTATCGTGTCGCGACTAGGAACGACGTAAGTGCAAAACGACGTAGATCGAGAAAACGTAAGTCAGGATCTATCGCGTATCTTCCATTTTTACGTTCTATACTCAGACGTTAGATAAAATATTATTTTCGTAAAAATGTTACGTGCACGTTAAATTCCGCTGTTTACTGTATCTGTTTGCCATTTTTATAACGGCGATAGCTGAACGCCGGAGACCGATTCGAACGATGAACGCACGATTCTTTCGACATCTCGCGTCCTGACTTCGTTATCAACCATGGCCCATCGCCGGATATCTCGCAACTCGTACCGTATTTTTCCCGTCATTGTATGGAAATGTCAGAAACCTCGTGTTTCTTCGGAGTTCTTTATGCCCGTCTTTACGACGAACACCGAAAAGAAAAAGGAAAAATGCAAATGTTCATTCGCGAGGGGGGACCCATCGTTCGAAGGTGTGCATTGTACGATTCCTACGCTCTTAGAAAAGGTTCGATCGGTAACTCGTATAACTGTTCGGCGTATAATTGTTTGTTCGATAATGGTCTCGTGATTGGAATAGCTAAAATTCGTGACTGTTTGTGAAGAACTTCATTCTCCACCTTCTATCGCAATTCAAACGAATAACACGCTGCCTTGAGAAGTTCAATAACTTTTCACGCTGCTCGTATTATGCAAATTATGAGTTTAATAAGTTTTTAAGGCGTTCTGGGTTACCCTCGACATTTGTTCAAATTATTAGAAATATTTATATTTCAATGATGTGCTAGTTATTTGAAGTATTTTCAATGATATTAATGATATTAATATTACGATTTATTTAGGGTAAACGTTCTAAAAAAGCAGCATGTCACCCTTCCCAGCGATTCAAATATTTCCCTTTCGTACAATCAGTTTTATATTTCGTTATTTGCAAAAGCTGTATTATACGCAAGTAAACTCTGAATTAAAGAACAAAAATCATACTTTCCATGAGAACTTTCTCTTCGAGTAATGTAGAAATTTCAAACTCTCGGTATACAATAATAATATACAACAGATCTATAATAGCGTTAATACAGTTGAATTATTTAACAAAGAAATCTAAGACTAAACTTATTATTCTTTACATACAATTTCTCTCAAAAAAACATTCCAACAAACAGGTTAAAAAATATAGAAGAATACAGCAACTCTATGTACCAGATAAATAGTACAAAATTAAAACCTGTACATTGTATACGATACGATCGACTGCCTCAAATTGAGGGTTCATTAATAATTTTGTAACCTGGTAATATTACACGAGCTAAAATTTCACAATAATCTACATGTATTAAGTTTACACTAATTAATTTCCGAGTTCTAGTCCATTTTTATATACAATATTTCTCAACCACTTCGAGTACTGTAAAAGTCTTCAAGTTCTTCAAAACACTCATATTTTAAGAATTGCTCATACAAGTAATACAGTGTAAAATATACACTGTGTCTTTTTATTCCCAACATTCGTTTCAAAAATTCGCTATAGATACCACGGTATTAAGAATTACTTTCGTTTCTGCAATTTGATTCACTTTCAATTTTTTAATTATTTTCAAAAGCACAGTTTTCTTTCTCCTTTTAATCCGATAATACGAAATGTAACGCTGTAAAATGGCGGCTGATGGAAAATATTATTCAACGATATAAAGTATTATTTTCAGCGAGACCCGTTGCTATTGGAAAAGCAGTGTTTGTTGTACAATAAAATAAGTATACGCTCTGCTAACGTCGGTTTTGTGTTCACTCCACCGTGTGAAAATCTCCTACGCGAGGTGAAACCCTGTATGAACGCGTGCATACATTGCGCTTCTTTCCTCCACGAAAATAATTATTACATTCAGGAAAGTTGTTCGGAAGTAGCATACTTTTCGTGGTAACGGTAAATACATTAGGAATCGTAATAACAAAATTTGCTTTACTTTCGGTAACTTCTAAAACGACAACGTCGATCTAGAAGTTTAATTAATAGGCGGTCAAATAAATTAATTGCACGAACACTAACGATGTTTCGACCACGAGTATCATAGCCTTTATCGAGTCAAACTTAAATAATAAATTTCATTAACACGAATGATGAAAGAAAAAAATTACAACTACTCGCGAAATTTTTATTATAAATTATTTTTTAATTTTAAATTGTTCCTTATGATTTATGTTCCTACGTTACGATGTATCATTGACGTTAGAATTAAGATTCGCAGTTTTCTAAGATGTTGTTGCTTATCGATGCTTTTGTTGTTGTGTTGCAGCAATGCAAGTCGCTAATAGAAGAGAACCGAAGATTACAGACCGCCCTAACATCGAATCAAGTGCCTCACGTACAAGTAATCGACAGTGTTTTCCTTCAGACGCAGATTGAAACTTTGCAATGGCAGCTAAAACAGGTTTGTATGTAATCGCGAATAACGATCGTTTAACTTACACGACTTACAAGGGGAAACTGGCAATGCCCTCGACCAGATTACCTTGTTCCGATTATTTAATCCTCTTCGTTCCACGCCGAAAACTGCTGAGATAACGCTTTATCTCTGTGTTTGTTCACGCGAGGTACGAATTTTACGGGAAATTAAGCGCGTGACAAATTATTCTTACACAAAAGTGAGTCGAACGTATCGAATAAAATTTTTGGCCAACACTGTTCGGAATGACGATCACTCCGTTGCAAAATACAATATGGTTTCGCCTGGTTGGTCGGACGAGACGCTCGAAACGTTAACGCGTTCTCACACTTCAGTCATTCGAAGGCCTGTATGATTTTTTTTTTTCTTTTAACTGCAGAATACTTTCACTATCTTTAGCGTAAACTACTTCTTCAATGTGACTAATATGAAGTGGAATGAGATCCGGTTTATATCGATCGAAACTTGGATCAGGTGCGCGCGAACCTTTTTTAATCTCTAAAATCGATTTTGCCAAAAATAAAGTCTTCTAAGAAAAAGTTTCGTTTTAAATATCCTGGTATGTAAAATTTTATTTAAATGGTAGAACTAACTTATAACAATTTGTCGAATAAAAAGCGACCCAAACTTTTCAGTAGACCTAACATTACTTGGATATTACTCTGTCATCCCAGACACAAGCTCTGAGAATTCGAAACTCGACAACACTGAATCAAGAATCGTGATAATAATTGCCAAATTAGAACTAATATCCTGTTGACGTTCATTTTCACGACGGAGACAAAATAATTTGGAAATATCGATGTAAATGTAACTTTACGATCTGTTTTCTCGTAAAAATTTCAGATAGAGGCGAACAGGCACATGTATCGTTCCTTGATGGAACAAGTGGTGCGTTTCTTGGATCGAGCCCGTAAAAGCTTGGATATTCTTCACGACAAGAATAATCTTAAGGACAAAGGTTCGACTGGACGTGTTCCTCGTAGTCGAAGCGTGCACGCTGTACACGCGGACTCGTCGCCACACCGTGTCATCTCGGCGTCGTCATCCTCCTCCTCGGATTCCTCTCGTTTCACGAGGGCGAAATCCATCACGCAAATCTCGCCGTGCAACACCGGCTTTCGCGAGTTCACTTGGTCCGTTCTGCGTAGGAACGATCCTGTGCACTGTACGCCGCCGCGTAACAAAACACAGGATCTCAATAAGACGTACGAAGGTGTTTACAGAAAACCAAAACAAGTGGAGCTGGATCTGAACGACGTGCCGCCGGAGAAACTGTCCCAGGAAGCGTTTAGGTATGTGTACATTAATTCGAGTCCTATTTAGCCTATTCGTGCCCAGCCAGCAGCATTAAAATCTCATGAATCAATTGTTACAGTTTAATGAGAACCGTTCAGTCATTGTTAGCGATGAGGGAGCCCGATCTGGCCAGAATCTCGTCGATCGAAAATAACAACTCCTCTCCTTCGCCGGAGGATCACCATCGTCACAACAACCATCATAACGAGATGTCGATCTCGTTACAGAACAATAGTTTTGTAAACTCTACCACCTTGCAGGAGACTACTAGTTACACCAGACGTCCCAGCAGCGACCGCGGGAACGAATCAAGTAGTACGGACAATGATAGCAGTACCTGTTTCTTGAAATCGTTGAATGTCGTCGAGGTTGATCGAAATTTGCAAAATCTTCTTCCGGGTGTTAGGAGATCGATCGATGCGACCTCGCTGAATTCGGGAAGCAGTAAAACTACCGAGGAAGAGGACGGTCTTCCGACAAATAATTTTTTAAATGTTTCATTGCGAGAGCTTGACGGTATGTTCATGTTCACGCCAACTTCTACGCCAAATAAGTGCACCAGGAAAATTGAGAAAAAGACTAAGGAAAGATCATCGAAATCGAAACCAGCAGCCAGTGTCAGCAGCGTCGAGGATGAAAGTGGGTTTTCTTCTATGTGTTCGTTTCAAGAGATTGGTTTACCTAGTGCTCTGCCAATTTCACCTATCAGAGGTTGTCACACAGAAGTTGGCCTACCCGAAGTACCTTTAGAGAAAGCAAGACATCGCAGATGGTCTTCGACCCCAGCTGAAATTCAAGCTCTCTTCAAACAGCATCGAAACAGCTTCTCCACTTCTCAGACTACGTCTGAGTCTCTCAGCGTTTGGGTTTAAGTGGTTATGCGACTGTGTAAACTGATTTGAAAAGAAAAGTAGGTCTGGAGAATGTATCCGATGAAACTTAAAGAATGAATTGACTGAATGATGAACGCACTCGAGAACTCGTATAATGCAATTTTTTTTGTACATATTTCATTCAAATTACTACGCATTAATTTTGCATTTTGCTTTCTGTGAAAAATATTTAGAGAAAGAGTTAACGTAACCGATGCATGATTTATCTTAAAAGATTTGCTTTCGTGCTCCTACAGGAATTTTATTAACGGTAAAGGTTAATAAATTTGTTCAAAACCTTATTAGGAAAGTGATATATATGCGAGTGTAGGAAATGGTTTATCTATTGAAAAAGAAATACATGATTCGTGTTAGCTAGGTGCGAAACATTTGTAAAGTTTGTATTAAGCATTTATATTTACAAGAATCACAAATACTATTAAATTATGCTAATTCCAAAAGTACAATATGATATTAAGCGTATTACAAGAATGTTGACATCATTATTAAAAAAAGATTTCTTTTCATTTAAGCGAAGGATCTATATGCAGATATTTTCAACGAAACATTTTCTGTTCTTGTGTTACTCAAAAATATTTTTAACTAGAATAATTTGCAGGCATTAAAAATTAATTTTAATGTTTAAGACTTTGTGTTCAATTTATATTTGCTAGTTTTGACATGTTATTAATTTATCATAAAGTGTAATTTGCTTTAATTTTCATAGATCTGTACATAATGAATGACTTATAAAATATTCAGTATACAGTGAACGAGAGATTTCTTAATCAAAAATAAAATTACTTTTGCTCCGATAATGATTAATCATATGGTTGAGTATCATAACCAAGTTTATTTAATCTGTTATGCATTTATAGGCATACACGTATCTCAAACCAAGTTTCATACACACAAAGTTAGACAAAACAATTTTAGTTCATTATATTACGTTTTTGCGTTGTTTACATTGGTTATCATGTATTTCCTAACCATTCTTTTAGTTTCTGGTAACAAATTACTTGACGAGAAATAACCAATCCTGAAACCCTTTAAGACTTTAGAAATAATTCTAAAGGAATTGGCGAGAAAACGATCGTTTAATTTAAAGAAAAGCTTGAACGACATTTTCAAGTTGATTTGCGTGTTACGTTAAATCTGAGAAAAACTGGCAGTAAATGAATGAAATGAAAAATGATAAAACAAATCAACCTTTCTATGGTTCGTGCCCTCAAAGGTCCGTAGTTCGTTCCGAAACGTTATCGTCGAGCGAGAATAATGTAACATAAAGAAAGACTAAAGAAACGTGATCGCAGATTTCACGAGAATCGCTGATCGTGGTGAAGAAGTGACGACGATGGGCGCCACGTCCAAGGGGAGGGAAGGGGCAGGGTGAATGAATGCGCGCGCATTGCGATAAGGCAAAAGTAAAGACAGTATTCGTTATCAGTACGGCAGGCGTCGTTCACTTGTTCGCGAGTCGGTCCAGTGGGTAGCCAGGAGATTGCGCCACCAGCCGAGCCACTTTTAGATTGATTTTCAAGAGCACCGTGCACAGGGTAGCGCTCCGCGTTTATTTTAACGTGGCCAGAGTGTTCGAACGGGCCGCGACCGTCTCGGGTGATAGTAGAAACAGCGTGACGAGGTGAGAGGTTCGGGTGCGGGCGCCTTTTCTCTCTGCCGGTCTGGAAGAACGTCATTCAATTGTGTCCCACGGGAGGCACATCGTTCCCATCGTCGCGCTCGCTGTTATTACACGTTATCCGCGTGTGCCGTTTCTGCTCCACGTATACACTTGCAAGTCGCGTGCACGCATATAAGCCCATCTGTATACCTATCGCTCGCTCTCCCGTGCGGTGTTTCGTGTGTACGAACGGAGTGTGTGCGTGTGTTACCCTCGGAACGTGCGGCTTCGTGGCGCAGTGCGTGAAATGAGTGACAAGGACCGTTCCTCTCCCATCCTCGTTGAAAACAGCCTCAAGTCGTTACTCGATCAACCTAGTATCTTTCCATTGATTGGTAAGTATCGATACGATTTCTCACTACTTTACGACGCGCGAATATCTTTAGAATGCTCTTTTTGACGCGGGCTCGATACACCGCCCCCTCTCCCCTCACTTTATCGTCTCCCGGAACACGAATTCTTGCTTTTCTTCAAAATTCGCGCAAATACTACTTCAGCGCTGACTGGCGGCAGTCGAACGAATACGAAACACGTTTTTTTTTCTGCGCGTTTGCATTGACTTTGATCGTGGTCACCCGATATTTTCTTTTGGAGCACGAGTGTACTTTCGACGTGACGTCGGAATTTTCCTTCGATTGTTTTAATTATTCGTGCCGTTGGTTGACGGAGACTGTGAGAAGATAAGCGTGGAGAACGAACGTTCGTCGAAACAATGTATAAATGCTGTTAAAAATAAAAAAAACATAGTGCTGTAAGCACGCATTTGTGTTCATTGGTTGCGCCGGCGCTCGGTCCTCGAGTCTCTCGATTAACCTCGTTTGGACCCCGTGGTGCACCACGTGATGTTACCAACCTAACCTCACTTTCACTTACTCAACCTGTATCTATACACTCGGTTCAGTTCGGCTCAATACGGCTGCTTCACGAAGCGGTATACTAACCTTTCCGATTTGACCATGGAATGAGCGCTATTAATGCCATGTGATAGACTTACGTGGAAATTGGCAATTTCGAGTCGGAGCGATTAACGTGTATATCGAAGACCGATTATTTTTACGATCATTTCCTTCTATACATCATTACCATTTTTTCGAATATCGTTGGAACGAATTCTATTTAATAAATCATTACCGACTGTTTCGGTAATCTTCATGAAATATGTGAGTACGTGTTTTTTCGTTCATCAAGAAGATAGAGTGGGAGGAGAGATGTAAATGATAGAAAAGTGAAGTATAGTGTTCGTTGCGTAGTATTTATTTCGTTTAATACTCGGCGATTATATCTGAAACGATGCTCGTCATTTTACGTCAATGGAATTACAAGCGCACTGGACTCGAATAGATCGTCCAATCGTATTTCTTTAACAATTCATTGAAACTGCAACGAGCGAATATCTTCGATTTGTAAAATGTCTCCCAAGTTCTTCCGTTACTTTGATTCGAAGCGTATTCGTTGTAGAATGTCAATCACGATACAAAGTCCGTTCTCGCCGTGTCGTGGAATAATAATTTGACTTTCTTGCCGTGCTGCATTATCTGTGGAACAAGGTTCGAGTCCACTTCAGGTAATTGTGTTTTGCGCAATCGCGACATTCGCTCGATTCAAGTTTGTCTATTAGTAAAGCAAAAAAAAATACACGTGGTCGGTGATAAAAGAAAAGAGAAACTGAAAATCTCGCCAACGTTAATTATTTCGGAAGCATTACGCTAATAATTTAAAACGTAGAGATGGAAAATTAAGGACAGTTCCCTGACTCAACGTAATGGCTTACTTCCCATTCAACTTTGCAACCAGTTTCATATGCTGTTCGTGACGAAATAGGTTTCATTGTAAGGTGACATCGAACGATTATAGCGAGTCGTTTTCTCCATAAAGATTACAATAGCCAACGAGTTTGTTTTCCGGTGTTTCTATTAAACCGTGCTGACGTTTCAAAATTAATTTCTAGACACAAGCTCTTTTAATAGTGCTGGCTGATTAAAAAATAATTGAGCACTATCAATTGGACATGCCAGAAGTCAAAATGGTTAACTCCACTTTTCTTTTTATAGTCGCAAGAAAAATTTTAAATGTATCGTCAATTTTTATTATGTTTTATATTGTAATTTTAAGCCTTTTCAGTATGACATCACTAATAATTAATTATTTAATAACTATGTGTATTTTGGAGTAAGTTGATCTAAAAATTGTGAAAGTTTCTTTATAAAGGGTGTTCAGCCAACCCTGGGAAAAATTTTAATGAGACATTCTAGAGGTCAAAATAAGATGAAAATCAAGAATATACATTTTTCGAATGAGGCTTCGTTAAAAAGTTATTAACAATTAAATTGAAAAATTTCAAATCGTTCTGGAAAAATTATTTTCGTTTGCGGGAGTCAATTACAAGCATTTTTGGTGAATAGACATACCCTCGAAATCTTACGCACTTTTGAGAAAAAAATTCCAGTAGATGTGGAATTTTTCAGCGAAATTAAAAAATTTCAAATCATACTAAAAAAATTATATTTAGTTATAGGGATCAATTACAAGCATTTTTTATGAATAGACCTACCCTCGAAATCCTACGCACTTTTGAGAAAAAAATTCGAGAAGGTGTGAAATTTTTCGACAAAATTAAAAAATTTCAAACCGTTCTGGAAAAATTATTTTCAGTTGCGGGAATCAATTACAATAATTTTTGGTGAACAGACATACCCTCGAAATCCTACCCACTTTCGAGAAAAAAATTCAAGAAAGTGGACCAATTTTTAGACGAAATTAAAAAATTTCAAATCACACTAAAAAAATTATATTTAGTTATAGGGATCAATTACAAGCATTTTTGGTCCATAGACCTACCCCCGAAATCCTACTCATTTTCTAGAAAAAAATTCATTATGAGCGGAACTTTAAGCGTTAATAACTTTTTAACGAAACCTGCATCAACAAATTAGTATTCTTGATTTTCGTCTTATTTTGGCGTCTAGAATCTCCCATTAAAATGTTTCCCAGGGTTGGTGGAACATCCTGTATAACATTCGAGCGTTTTCGTATGAAACGTGTAGTTATTGAATAATACATTAATGAAAGTGTTCAAGTTTTTTTAAATCATTCTGTATAATTGCTGGCGTTCATTAGTGCAAGCAGTATTTGTTATACATTCAAACAAAATATTTAATAAATCTAAGATTTGAAGATAATCGAACGAGCAGGTCTTTCGTAAAAATGAATCATCAATTTTTAGTCTAATCTTTTTAGTTGCGTACTTTAATCGAATACTCTATGTTTATTTTGTAACGATATTATTTTGATTGGAGATATTTTGTGTCGTAAATGAGATAGACCATTATCGTCGAAAGTCGTAATTTACTGTCATCAATATTTTGATGCTTGAGATACTGTTTCGCGATTCTTAAAATTATTTTTTTACAGGATTTTTACAGTATCGAAATTTCTACCGTCAATTTTACCGTACCAAAGTAATTATTTACTGTCTTTTAATGCCATCAAAAATCATCGTGTCTTTATTCTTTGAGATGAGCAAAATTCTTATCTAAACAAATATTTCTAATAACGAGTCGAAAATAAAGAAATTCTTATTCATTACTTGCTACAAATAAAAAAATTGAATTATGAAATAAAATATTCCACGAGTAAAGA